AAGGGCTCTGAGCGCCAGTCACTCTGTAGAGAAAACTCTGCTGGGACAGGGGTGCCGTGGATCAGGACAGTTGAAGAAAATTCACGGAAAACTCTCCATCCCCATGTGGGCCTTGCTCGAGGAGATTAGTTTTTCTTAACTGGGCAGTGGGCTCACCAACCCTCCTCTTAGGGAAGCTGGGAGGATCCCAGGAACTAACACAGCCCAGGCCTGGCATGTGCTGGCATTCAGGAAGCCTCCCAGGGCGGCACTTGGAAGGGCCTGGCTGGAGGGGGCCGGCTATGCTCCTGTGTGTTGGAAAGCCGAAGTCGGACCATGGCGTGTCCTGTCTGAGGCCCAGGAGGACACTAAGATTTGACAGAGGTCCTCAAGGCCACAGTGGCCCGCCCCCTGCTGCATTTCTGAGCGTCCCTCTCACTGTCTCTGTCTGCTCCCTGACATCCTCGTTCTGTTTTTTGAGAGGATTATTTCTTAAAGTCTTTATATGAACTTGACACAATATTGCTTCTCTCTTGTTTTGGTTTTTTGGCCAGGAGGCATATGAGATCTTAGCTCTCCAACCAGGGGTGGAACCCACAGCCCCTGCATCGGAAGCCAGGAAAGTTCTCTCTTCGCTCTGTTTTGAATAAGCCACTTCATCAGACTTCCCGGTGGCTTAGACGGTAAAGCATCTGTCTACAACATGGGATTCCTGGGTTCGATCCCTGGGTCGGGAAGACTCCCTGGAGAAGGCAATGGCACCCCACTCCAGTACTCTTGCCTAGAAAATCCCATGGACAGAGGAGCCTGGTGTCCATGGGGTCGCAAAGAGTCGGACACGACTGAGCGACTACACTTTCTTTCACTTTCTCTCATTTTCTCCTACCTCAGGACCTTTGCACGGGCCAGTCTCTCTGCCTGGAGCGCCCTTCTCATTGGGACCTGCACACTCACTCCCTCAGGTCCTTGCGGTCCTCACACACCCACCCTTATCAGAGAGCCCTTCCCTGAAACATCCTCCTGCGTTTGCCTGGCTTCACTGTTCAGTTACAGTGGTTACCATCACCCGGATAAATTCAGCTGTTTATCTTTTACTTCCTCTTTCTCTCACCAGAACATGAGCTGCGCCCAGCAACGGGTTTACTGCTTTTAATTCAAGTCATGTTCACAACTCCTACAACAGGGCTCATGTGCTTGATAAATATCTGCAGAATGACTTCATAAACCTATCTATCGTGTTGGCCAGAAAAATTCATTAGAGCTTTCTGCAACATCTCACGGAAAAACCCAAATAAACTTCTTGGATGACACAATATTTATATACACAAGAATATCAACAGCTTGCCTCTATATCAACATGTATGTCCCAAGCCCCCTGTGGGTGCCAGGCCCTTTGTGGGCATTGGAGGGACAGAGCCCTCACTGGTCCTGTGAACAGCTCTTGTCTGGCTGAGGACAAAGACAGCTAGACAGCTGGGGACTATACTTTGTGGAATGCAAAGTGGCAATGAAGTGCCAAAGTTGCATCTGAGTGTCAAGACTGAAAGGATTTAATTCTGCTCAAGGCAGAGCTGGGAAAATTCATGGTGGAGGGATATTTGAGCTGGGTTTTGAGAGATGAATAGGAGTTTGGATGGCAGGCAAGCTGAGAAAAACACTGTCGATGAAAGGACCCACATGCTTATCATAAATGCCCAGGTACACAGATGTATTTGTGGAAGACTCACTTGGAACTTGGAGTCAGAAAACCCAATTCTAACCCCTACCTCTGTCCCACCCCATTTACTTATTCTTTCTGTGAGATCTCGTAGTCTCTACACTGGGGCAGGCCCTGTGTGGGTGGCCCCTAAAGGGCAGAGAAGGAAATTAAACAGTTTTAGAGGGACTTCCCTGGTAGTAGAGTAGATGGGAGTCTGCTTGCCAATGCAGGGTACACGGGTTCGATCCCCGCTCTGGGAGGATCCCACATGCCTCAGGGCAGCTGGGCCCGTGAGCCAGAACTACTGAGTCTGTGCTCTGGAGCCTGGGAACTGCACCTACCAAGACCACGTGCTGCAGCTACTGAAGCCCGTGAGCCTAGGGCCCAGGCTCCGCAACGGGAGAGGTCATTGTGATGAGAGGCCTGCGCACCGCACCTGGAGAGTGGTCCCTCCTCACTGCAACTAGAGAGAAGCCACCCAGAACTGCTAAGATCTAGCACAACCAAAACCAAATAAATAATACAAGAAAGCAGGTTTAGATCTGAGAGAGTGGGTACGGAGGGGGAGGCTGTCCACTTGCACGACTCCCAGAATAGAATTGGGGGACCCAGACTGTCCTGGGCACGCTCTGACCCTCGGTTTCTTCATCTGAGAAGGTGCCCTGACTACTTTGAGAGCTGTCCTAAAAATCACACATGTGCGTGAAAACTGTCAATATCACATTATATAGATGTGCACAGGGTAAGATGAATGCGTGTATGTTAATGTAGCGTTTCCCAGTTTTATGACTTTGCTCTGTGTAACCTTTGGGAAAGGACCAGTCAGCCTAGAGGCCTAACTGGTCCACATGCACTGCAAAAAATGGGGGCATGAAGTATCAGGTTGGCCAAAATTTGGTGTTTTTTTCCATAAGATGTTCCCGAATGAACATTTTGGCCAAGCCAATATATTCCTTTTCCTTAAACGCCCTGGAGTAGGAAATGGCAACCCACTCTAGTATTCTTGCCTGGAAAATTCCATGGACAGAGTAGCCTGGTGAGAGTCAGACATGCCTGAGCACACATGCACATTCATTCCTTAAAAACCAGGAGTACTCATATGATGTTTTTAATGAAGACAGAGTTGATGCTGTGTTTATCGTTAACATAGATCATTTGGTCCCCATAACTGGGGATGCTTCTCTGTGCTGCAAAACTCTGGGTACAGGTGAACTGAATGCTAAAGATAACTTTCACCTTTTCTGCAAGACTCAGGGTCACCCTTGAGAGACCAGCAGACCGAGAAAACCACCTGTGATTGTAACTGTGGTGAGCTCTGGAAAGAAACAGCTCAGGACGTAGTGTTCCACTAAACAGAGAGGGTGTGAGGGTTCACACTGAGAGAGGTCAGGGAGGCAGGGGGAAAACTGGGAGAAAGAGGAGAAACCAATTGTAGAGTCGGAGGAGCTCAGCATGGGCAGAAAGAACAGCATAAGCAAAGGTCCTGAGACTGCAACAGCCTGATGTGCGTGAGGAACTGAAGAAGCAAAGTTGAACCACTGGAGAGGAGGTGAACAGTGGCAGGGCCTGCCAAGACAGAGCCTGGCACAATAGCTGATAGAGTTCGGAGTTTCCCAGAACCATGGCATTGCAGGTTGCAGGGGGTCCAAGGGATCAGGACCTGCGAGAGTGAAAGGAAGGAAAAAGGATTGGACAAAGGGAGAAGTGAGCTACGGGCAGTCTTAAGAGAAGCCTCCGCAGACCGGTGAAAATTCCTGGATGGGATGACCCTTCAGAGCTCTCTGAGTTGGGGCAAGAGGGCTGGGCTTCCCTCCTTCTCTCAGCCATTGGATGAAGGATTCCCTAGAAGAAGGCATGATCTTGGGTGAAGAGGGGCTTTAATTGAGCAGCATCTCAGCAGCTGGAGTAGCAGCTCCTTCATTCCTTAAGGAGTGTCTGGATGGCACATCCCCCAGAAACAAGAAGCCACTGAAGGGTTTTAAACATTTGGGAAGGTCACCCTAGCTCCTGTCTGGCTGGAAGGGTTTAAGGCTGGAAGAGGAACCAGAGGTGAGGATGGATTTGAGATGTTGTTTGGAGGTAGAACCAGGAGAACCTGGTGGTGGATGGGGAAGAGGGAAACATCAAAGATTTTTCTAGGGGTAACTGGGTTATACCATTTATGGAGATGGGGAAGATGAAGGGAAGAATATGGTTCTTAAAAAGAGTCAAAAGGCTGGTTTTGGACTTAAGTTGAAAGTGAAAGTGTTAGTGGCTCAGTTGTGTCTGACTCTTTGCGACCCCATGGGCTGCAGCACGCCAGGCTTCTCTGTCCTTCACTATCTCCTTGAGTTTGCTCGTACTCATGCCCATTGAGTTGGTGATGCCATCCAACCATCTCGTCCTCCGTCACCCCCTTCTCCTTCTGCCCTCAATCTTTCCCAGCATCAGGGTCTTTTCCAATGAGTATGTAAATAATAGCATCAAAATAGCTTAAACATTGGAAGGGGAGCCCAGCAGCTATAGAAGAAAATGGGGGTCAGGACTGAGCAGAAAAGGAAGAATTTGGGCAACTAATGGGGAGGGGGTCGGGCATCAAAGGAGAGCTTCTCTTTTTCCGTGATGGAACTGAAGGGGGAGGGGTCTGACTACCCTGAAGGCCATTCAGTAGTCAAGATGTCAGGGGTCTCATTGCTTTATCTTCTTCTAAGGAGAAGGAAATGGCAACCCACTCCAGTATTCTTGCCTGGAGAATTCCCAGGGATGGGGGAGCCTGGTGGGCTGCCGTCTATGGGGTTGCAGAGTCGGGCACGACTGAAGTGACTTAGCAGCTTAGCAGCAAGGGGACTAGTACTTTGTGAAAGAATCTGATTCCAAAGCAAGACCCCAGGCCTTGAGTTCTGGTGGGGAAATCTGGGTGGGCACATCTGGTCAACGAGTCACCTCGAAGGGGTTTAAATCCCAGCTCCATCCCTGTTGAGCTGGGTGAACTTGTATCATTTCCCATATCACGTTCTGGGGCCACAGTCTCTTTATTTTTTCTGGATTTTTTAAAACCACTTTTAAAAATTAAAGTGCAGCTAATTTACAGTATTGTGTTAGTTGTAAGTGTACAGCAAAGTGATTCAGTTTTATCATATATATCATATATATATAAGATTCAGGTATATATAATTATTTTTTAGATTCTTTTCCATTATAGGTTATTATAAGATATTGAATACAGTTCCCTGTGCTATACAGTAGGTCCTTGTTGTTTACCTATTTTATATACAGCAGAGGGATGTGTAATCCAAAGCTCCTAGGTTATCTACCTCCTCGCCTGCCTCGGAACCTCAGCCTCTTAATCTGTGAAGTGGGCCTCTTCTCCAAGTTTGGGGATCACAGGAGATGATGGTGACACAGTGGCCCTTGACCAGGAGCTGGTGGGAGCTGCTCTGGATTTATCACTTGCCCGTCGCACGGGCCAGCGGTAGTGCGAGAACAGGAAGGCTATGTAAGGTCCACGGTCTCGGCCAGGACTGGGGCAGGAACCGGCAGGGCTGCCCGGCTGCCCACTGCGCGGGCCGTGCAGTGACTCAGCATGCAGGGAGGCGTCCAGAGGAGCCTCAGAGCTCGTCTTGGGCCATCCTTCGGCTTGTTGATAAACAACCTCCCACCAAGGTGGGCTGGCCACAGAGCTGCCAGGAAGCCGGGAGCCGGGCCCTGTGGCCGCTTCTTAACCTGGGCTGAGCCGCCTGGAATCGCCAGCCTTTTGAGGAAGGAGGAGAGAAACGGGGCAGTCCTGATGCGGGGTCAGCAGAGACGAGGTGTTGAGGCCTATGGCACACACGCTCTGGGGTCTGGGCCAGCCGCCAACATGCTACAGTACCTTGAGGGAGGCCTCAGTATCTTCCCTGTAAAGACATCTCAGATTCTGTAAGATGCTGCATCCCATTCGTTCTTAGGAAACTTCTAACCAGCTAGCACCACTGGCCCGCAGAAAACCTGGAGAGTATCTGCTTCTCGCCTCCGTTGCTGGGGGAAGGGCTGCGGGTGGCCTGGGCCGGGCATCTCTATGGTGAGCGCTTGCTCAGAGCTGTGAAGACACCTGCACTGGTCTCCTACAGCGGCTGGAGTGAAGTACCACGTGCGGGGAGGCTTAAAGGAGCAGGAATTTGTTCTCTCGTGATGCAGGAGGCCAGAAGTCTACAGTCAAGGTGTCGGCAGGCTTGGTTCCTCCTGGAGGGCTGGAGGGGGAGTTTATTCTCTTCCTCTGCCCGGCTTCTGGTGGTGATCCTGGCGTCCCATCACTCCGATCTCTGCTTCCATCCCCTCTCATCTCTGCATCTCTGTGGGCCCTATTCTCTCCTCATTAGGACTCCAGCCATTGGATTTGGGGCCCATCCTCACCCAGTATGATGGTGAAAGTATAAAGTATTAGTTGCTCAGTCATGTCCAACTCTTTTCAACCCCGTGGACTCTAGCCCACCAGGCTCCTCTGTCCTTGAAATTCTCCAGGCAAGAACACTGGAGTGGGTTGCCATTTCCTTCTCCAGGGGGTCTTTCTGACCCAGCGATTGAATCTGGGTCTCCTGCATTGCAGGCAGATTCTTTACCATCTGAGCCACCAGGGAAGGGTCTTCCACAAAGACCTTATCCACTAGTAAGGTAATATTCTAAATTTCCAAGCGGATGTGAATTTGGGGAAGGGAGACACTATTCAACTCACTAGAGCACCTTTACCTCACTTAATTGTCACAATACCCGAATCCTCACTTTATAGGCAAAACCCTCCAGAAGCTCAGAGAAGTTAATCAATTTTGTCTAAACCCTCAGAGCCAAGAAGTCACAGGGCTGGTGCATGGATAAAGGCCCTGACTCCAAGTCCAGAGGGATCTCTGCCATGTTGATGCCGCTCTTTACAGTTTCCAAAGCCCCCTTTCCGGAGTCAGTAGCTCTGCTTGACCTAGGTATACTTATTGTACTATCTGCCCACTTCACAGCTGAGAACATTGAGGCCAAGGGCCAGTGTGGGGGAAATGAGTTGCGTGGTTTGTCAAGATCACCCGGTAAATAGGTGGCATGGCAGGGACTCGAGGCCTGGCCTGCACGGTTCTTCCCCTGCAATCCAACATTCTATCTCCATGTAGGCCTGGTAAAAGAAGCCAGGCACAAAAAGCACATGGTGTGTGATTCCAGCTCCATGAAATGTCCAGAACTGACCAATCTAGAGAGAGAGAAAATCAGTGACTTCCAGAGGCGGTAGGGAGGAAGTGACTGCTAATGGGTGTGGGGGGAGGGAGGCAATCTGGAATTAGAGGGCAGAGATGGTTACACAATCCTGTGAATTCACTAAAGGCCACTGGAATGAGCAAGGCATGGAAATCTTATCTCAGTAAATATCTCATTGTACGGTGTCAACCACCTGCCTCTGGGGAGGCGAGTCTGCAGGGAGCAAGAACTCACAAGCCCCAGAAGACACAAAGTCTGTTTGTTGGGGCAGAAACAGCCCAAGCTGAGGCTCGGATGCACTTCATGCACGAAGGCACCTCGGGAGCCTCCTCTGTGACAGAATTTGCATCCACCTGCCAAGTCACAAACGCATCGAGAGCAGGCAGGCTTCTGAGCACCTTCCTGAAGAACCACCTGGCCTGAGCAGGTTATTTCCTGTTTCCACATCCTGAAACAGCAATGAGACAGGCATCTGCCTACCTGAGTGGTCATGAGGGTCAAGTTTAAAGAGAGCTCAGCAATGGATAAACCACAAGGTCCTATTGTATAGCACAGGGAACTATATTCGATATCCTGTAGTTAACCACAGCAGCTAAGAAAAAACTAAATAAGAGCTCAGCAGAGGGTGAGACATTTGCATGGGGCCCCTTGAACCTCACCCCAAATCCCATAAGCAAACCATTAAACTTTCAGCCATGGCTATTGCTAAACTGTGACCTGCTTGCTCAACTTGGACCCCTACATCCTCCCTGGGTTTGGCGAGAGGTCAGGGCTGTGTGAGGCTCTGCAGCAGGCCCGGGGATGGAGGAACTAGGAAGTGGTGGAATGTGTTACTGGAGTCCACAGATGGAGTCTGCACCTCCGAATCATAAGCGGTTTCATCGCTGCTGGGAGCCAGTATCACCAGCACTAGTTTCCATCAAGTCACCTGGCAGATGACAGTCTGAAACTCTGGGCACTGGGCCCTCATCCTCTCTGGCCAGTGCAGACTCAGGAGCTGGATTGACTGCTTGCTTCTGAGTCCACCAGAGGCCCACCTGGATTTCTCCCCAGTGCATCAGCTTTCTGGGGGCCAAGAAGGGTCAGGAGATGAGAGCCGCACTTGTTACCTGGCTGGGAACAGAGGGAGGTGGGAGGGAGGCTTTCTGACCCCGTTTCTACCTGCTCAGAGCCCTGCTCAGACCCCCGGATCCCAGACTTTCTTGAGTCAGACCCCATCCATGAACAAAGTCCCTCGATGAGTGAGCTCCCTTGCACACTTGCGGGAAGCTTTCTCCAAGCTCAAGGCCCCATTGGAGTCCAGGCAGGGAGGAAAGTGTAGGCACCGAAGGGGGAATGGAATACCTGCCAGACACTGTGTCCAGCATGGCTTGAGAGTAGGGAGTGAGCCAGGGACTGGGGGGAGGGATAGAGGCAAGCCCGGGGCCAGCTAATGAAGTGTCTTGTGAGCCATGCTTTAGAAGTGGAACTTTATCCCAAGAGTGGTGGGACACTCTCTCAACATGAATCAGCCTTAGGTATACATATGCCCCCTCCCTCTTGAACCTCCCTCCCATCTCCTTTCCCATTCTACTCCTTTAGGTGGATACAGAGCCCCTATTTGAGTTCCCTGAGTCATACAGCAAATTCCCATTGGCCATCTATTTTATGTACCGTAATGTAAGTTTCCTTGTTACTCTCTCCACACATCTCACCCTCCCCTCCCCTCTCCCCATGTCCACAAGACTGTTCTCTATGTCTGTTTCTCCACTGCTGCCCTGCAAATAAATTCTTTGGTGCCATCTTTCTAGATTCCATATATATGCATTAGTATACGACATTTATCTTTCTCTTTCTGACTTGCTTCACTCTGTATAATAGGCCCTAGGTTTAAGAACTGACTCAAATGCATTCCTTTTTATGGCTGAGTAATATTCCACTGTGTATATGTACCACAACTTCTTTATCCATTCATCTGTTGATGGATGTCTAAGTCATTTCCATGTTCTAGCTATTGTAAATAGTGCTGCAGTGAACACTGGGGGACATGTGTCTTTTTCATTTTAGGTTTCCTCAGAGTATATGCCTAGGAGTGAGATTGCTGGGTCATCTGGTGGTTTTATTCCTAGTTTTTAAGGGATCTCCATTCCGTCTTCCATAGTGACTGTATCAATTTACTTTCTCACCAACAGTGCAAGAAGGTTCCCTTTTCTCCACACCCTCTCCAGCATTTATTGTTTGTAGACTTTTTGATGATGGTCATTCTGACTGGTGTGAGGTGATATCTCATGGTAGTTTTGATTTGCATTTCTCTAATAATGAGCGATGTTGAGCATCTTTTCATGTGTTTGTTAGCCATGTGTATGTCTTCTTTGGAGATATGTCTGTTTAGGTCTTTTTCCCACTTTTTGACTGGGTTGTTTGTTTTTCTGGTCTTGAGTTGTATGAGATGCTTATATATTTTGGAAATTAATTCTTCGTCAATTGTTTCACTTGCTATTATTTTCTCCCATTCTGAAGGTTGTCTTTTCACATTGCTTACAGTTTCCTTTGCTGTGCAAAAGCTTTTAAGCTTAATCAGGTCCCACTTGTTTACTCTTGTTTTTATTTCCATTACTCTAGGAGGTGGGTCATAGAGGATGCTGCTTTGATTTATGTCATAGAGTTCTAAACACTCTCCTTTACATGTGTAGTCTCCCTATCATTGTCTTTGCCTTCTTAAAAGATGTCATTGGCTGCAGAGTGGAAAATAAGAATTGGGAATGTCAGAGTTGGGGAGACCAATAAGAAATGATGGTTAGACACAGAAAGAAGCAGATGGATGCAGGAAACACTTGGGGGGGGGGATCTAAAAAGGTACCAATTCACTAGGTGGAAGGAATAACAGAGATGGTTGTTCCTCTTTACCATGAGCACCAGGTTGGTAGCAGAGATGGATGGATGCAGAGATGGAGCAGTGACATTTCTGTAGACACAGAATGCAAGCTTTGTTTAATGAATGATTAAATACATGAATAATGAAGGGGTCTCAAAATGGAGTGGGTGATGAGTTCCCCATCACTGTGAGAATGCAAGAAGTGGTTAGACAACTGTTTGATCTAGACCTTGTCAAGTGGAAATCAAATGGAAGACACCTAATAGATACATATCACATGCGTAAATGAATTGCTGTCATCCTTATGATTTTTGACAGCCCATGGACTGTAGCCTGCCAGACTCCTCTGTCCATGGAATTCTCCAGACAAGAATACTGGAGTGGAGGGCCATTCCCTTCTTCAAGGGATCTTCCCGATGCAGAGATCAAACCCGTGTCTTCTGCATTGCAGGCAGATTCTTTACCACCTGAGCCACCTGGAGAATTTCATGGAGCCTTGCGGGCTATAGTCCATGAGGTTGCAAAGAGTCAGACATGACTGAGCAACTAATACTTTCACTTTTTCACTTTTACTTATGATTCTAGGACCTCATGGGGCCTCATGGGCACCTGATGGGAGCTCATTGAGTCACCAGTGTGGGATGGGAGAAAGTATCTGAACTGTTGAAATTTCTTAAATTTCTACTTGAGTATGTTTAAGAGGGTACATTTTAATACATGTTAATACGTGTACATATTGGGTAAAATAAACTGTGGAAAATTCTTCAAGAGATGGGAATACCAGACCACCTGAACTGCCTCTTGAGAAACCTGTATGCAGGTCAGGAAGCAACAGTTAGAACTGGACATGGAACAACTGACTGGTTCCAAATCAGGACAGGAGTACATCAAGGCTGTATATTGTCACCCTGCTTATTTAACTTATATGCAGAGTACACCATGAGAAACACTGGGCTGGAGGAAGCACAAGCTGGAATCAAGATTGCTGGGAGAAATATCAATAACCTCAGATATGCAGATGACACCACCCTTCTGGCAGAACGTGAAGAGGAACTAAAAAGCCTCTTGATGAAAGTGAAAGAGGAGAGTGAAAAAGTTGGCTTAAAGCTCAGCATTCAGAAAACTAAGATCATGGCATCTGGTCCCATCACTTCATGGGAAATAGATGGGGAAACAGTGGAAACAGTGTCAGACTTTATTTTTGGGGCTCCAAAATCACTGCAAATGATGATTGCAGCCATGAAATTAAAAGATGCTTACTCCTTGGAAGGAAAGTTATGACCAACCTAGATAGCATATTAAAAAGCAGAAACATTACTTTGCCAACAAAGGTCCTTCTAGTAAAGGCTATGGTTTTTCCAGTGGTCATGTATGGGTGTGAGAGTTGGACTGTGAAGAAACCTGAGCACCAAAAAATTGATGCTTTTGCACTGTTGTGTTGGAGAAGACTCTTGAGAGTCCCTTGGACTGCAAGGAGATCCAACCAGTCCTTCCTAAAGGAGATCAGTCCTGGGTGTTCATTTGGAAGGACTGATGCTGAAGCTGAAACTCCAGTACTGTGGCCACCTCATGCGAAGAGTTGACTTATTGGAAAAGACCCTGTTGCTGGGAGGGATTGGGGGCAGGAGGAGAAGGGGATGACAGAGGATAAGATGGCTGGATGGCATCACTGACTCAATGGACATGAGTTTGAGTAAATTCCGGGAGTTGGTGATAGACAGGGAGGCCTGGCGTGCTGCGATTCATGGGGTCACAAAGAGTCGGACATGACTGAGTGACTGAACTGAACTGATTAGGTAAAAATAATCAAAATTTTTTTACTTATACGGATATGCAATTACAATGGTTTGGACACCACTAATTTATAGCACAGAGCCTTTAAGTAGGTTGAGTGGAAATAAATGGAACCCTTGGCCCCAAGACTTCTAACTGCCTATGGCAGTGTCTGTGACAAGGGTTTGGGGAGTTGTAACAAATGAAAGAACTACACAAAAATGCCTCATCCCTTTATTATGCTGGACAGAAAAGGCACATTGACACCATTCATCCATTTCTCCTCATTTGTGAAGCGATCACTCTTTATAATGTCATAGCTCTTCGGACCTTTCACAGAACAGATGTTCTTCATCACAGTATCAACACAAGCCACAGGGCAGCTCCCCTCCCATAGGCAAATCGCTCCTCTGCCCATGGGTGGACCCTAAATGGTCATTAGGAGCCCAGGGCTCTGCTGACAGGAGACCCTCAGACCATACACATCTGCTGATGAATGAGCGCCTCACTCCCCAAAGCCCAGCCAAGCCTCCTTTTGTGAAACTCCACTCACATTACGCACATGGTTTGTGGGTGAAAGTTGCTCAGTCATGTCTGACTCTTTGCGACCCCATGGACTATACAGTCCATGGAATTCTCCAGGCCGGAATATTGGAGTGGGTAGCCTTTCCCTTCTCCAAGGGATCTTCCCAACTCAGGGATCGAACCTGTGTCTCCGGCATTGCAGGCGGATTCTTTACCAGCTGAGCTACAAGGGAAGCCCAAGAATACTGGAGTGGGCAGCCTATCCCTTCTCCAGGGGATCTTCCCCACCCAGGAATCTAACTGGAGTCTCCTGCATTGCAGGCAGATTCTTTACCAACACATCCCCGCAAAATGGTTTCACTTCATTCTAATATGAAATGGTTTATACTTCTTATTCCACCTGTTTTCTTTCTCTAGCTATGAATGTGTATGTTTATTTGGGCAGAGGGGCTTGCATGGCAGAAACAAAGGCTGGGATGGGGAGTAAATCTTTTTGTGACCCTTTTTCTTTTAAAGTCCAGAGCTGGATTGGTCAGGATTTGTGGGCTCTTTGCCATCCCAATCCTGCTGGCCCTGGGGAGGATAAAACCTCCCCAGGGAGAGCCCGCTAAGGAATCACCATCACTCACTGATCCAGTGAGTGCTTCCAGGGCGCTGCCTGCATTACGGGAAGCCCCTGAACGCCACTGCTGCTGACCACCCATCACTGCTTTGACTCTAAGAGCTTGATGTTGGTGTCTGGATGGCCTGTTCTCCCAGAGGGCCGGCGTCGGGAGGCAGATTATAAAACGTGTAGAAAAAGAAGAAAGGAATTCCCCCTGGAGGACCTGGGGCTTGGGGCCGGGCACCTGTCCATTGAGAGCCAAGGACGGTACCCGCCCTCCGCCCCGCCCATCGCTGCCCGCCTCGCCCTTCGCCACCTGGCCCCGCCCACAGGAGGCAAGGCCGCGGCCCCTCTGCCGCTGGAGGTGGGATGGGGAGGGTGTTCTCCCGCCTCCATGGACGGGGTGACCTTTCCTGAAAATGCTTGTGTGTGCGTGTGTGTGTGTGTGTGTGCGCGCGCGCGCGCGTGCACGCGTGCAAATTGACAGGAAGGACAGGTGGTGGAAGGGAGCTTAACATACGGAGCACATGGTATGTGTCAGACACTAATGCGTGTTTTCCACAACCACTGGCTTCAATACCGATTCTCTTCTACAGGCCTTTTGCTGAACTTGTCTTTCTCCTTAGAATAAATTTATTCCCATTCTGCGGTCATAATAATGCCTCACATTTACATAGCACCTTGCATTTGTCAAAGTACTTCTGTGCCTGTTACCTCCTTTAATCCCCACAACAGCCTCGTGTTGCCGGGAGGAAACCGAGGCGGGGACGCGGCCATGTGCAGCCAGTTATCCTCTGAGCTGGGGCGCCCCGCTTCTCCGCCCTGCCCAGTCCACAGTGCCTGGCTTGACCGCGTCTAGAACGGCCTTGCGCTGGCTGCTGAATCATCGCGAGTCTGCAAGTTCCTTCAGGACAGACTGTTTTCTTTTTCTTGCCCGCAGGGTTCCATGCTGCGCGTACAGCAAGTGCTGGGTAAGTACTTATTGGGTTCGTCTTTGGCACAGACCACTTGTCTTTCTGCAAGGGGAGCGAGAGTCCTGGTCTCTGGGTTCTCACCACGGATCGCTCAGAGTTTAACCTTCATTGACCTGAGGAATCATCCTCCAAAGTCCTAGTTGAGCGGATTCAAGAAACCCAAGACTACACGTCAGCCCGTGTGCGCGGCCCTCTCGGCGGCTGCCCCAAAGCAGGGCAGCTTTTCTGGAGATCTGAGCGGTCATGCTCCGGCAGAGTGACACACCACGTGGGAGGGGAGCTCGGCCACTCCTGTCCCTGTCCCCAGGCTCCTCCGCTCCTCGGGAAGCAGCAGACCCAGGGGTGGCAGCCAGTAAGAAGGATAATACTGTCGTATTTCTGGGGCCCTTGGCTGTGCACCAGATCACTCCAACCTCGCAGCCCTGTTCACCGCAGGTTGGGCGGGGCAGGAATTTACTGGAGACACCGACTCACTCACCGCTCAAGGTCACAATTGGGCTGCCTTCCTTCCTCCTGGGGGCGCATCCCCAGAGCCGCCGTCCACCCATCGTCACACGCATCAGTAGCCCCGGGTGCCATCTGCTCGCTGGGTGCTCCCCACCCGCTACGACAGTTTGTGAATGTGGCGTTCCACGGAGATGGAGGTCCGCAGCGTGCCCATGGAGTTCTCCGTCTGGCTGGGCTCCGGGGACCCGCAGCCGCCTGGCCGGCACAGCCACGTGTACACCTCCCGTGACTTCTTGCGGAAGCGCTTGCCCACGATCACGTACACCAGTGGGTTGAGGCAGCTGTTGCTGTAAGCCACGAAGGACGAGATCTGCGTGAAGACGTCGATCACATACTCGTTCCAGCAGCCCGAGAGGACCTGGAGGCGCAGCAGCGTGTCCAGGAAGGTGCTGATCTGGAAGGGCAGCCAGCAGACCACGAACAGCAGCAGGACGGCCAGAACCAGCAGCGTGGCCTTCCTCTCCGTCTGGATCTCCTTGAACTTCTGCATCTCGTTGTTACGCAGCACCTGCATGATCTGCACGGTGCAGAAGGTGATGACGCTCAAGGGCAGCAGGAAGCCCACCGAGTTCAGGAGGATGTTGGTGAAGACCTCCCAGGTGCGGGACGGGTACATGATGACGCAGGCGGTGACGTTGTGGCCCTCGGCGTCGTACTCCCGCATGGTGCGGAAGGCCAGCATGGGCGAGCTCAGAAGCAGCGCACAGCCCCAGATCACCAGGCTGTAGAGCTTGGCCCAGCGCACCCCGCGCATCCGCCCCATGGACATGGTCTTCACCAGGGCCAGGTAGCGGTCGATGCTCACCAGCATGAGGAAGCAGATGCTGCTGTAGAGGTTCATGTAGAGCATGGTGTTCACCACGCGGCAGAGGGCTTCCCCGAAGAGCCAGTCGAAGTTGTTGGCGATGGTGATGGCCCAGAAGGGCAGCCCGAAGGCCAGGATCAGGTCTGCCACGGCCAGGTTGCCCAGGTAGATCTCCGCCACCATGCAGCTGCTCTTGTGCAGGCAGAAGACGCTGAGGACAAAGGTGTTCTCCAGAGTGGCCAGTAGGAAGAGGATCCAGAGGAAGGGGGGCTGGATGGTGTTGAGCCAGTTCCACCAGTCGGACTGGAAGCAGCTGCTGCTCTCGGGCAGGGTCCCGTTGAGAGCAGGTTCAAGGACCTGGGAGGTGAGGTTGAACATTTTGGCGCTGCAAGAAAGTGGAGAAGAGGCAGTTACACCTCAGGGTGACAGGAGGAAGGAGTAGCAACTGGTGCAGAGGGAGGGGGGTGCGTCCAGTTAGGGGTGGAACTCAGGCCTTTGCTGTGCTGTGTTCACAGACAGTCCTGGTGCATCTGAGTCCCCGGGGGTCTTAGAAAGGTGCCTGTGCTCCTTGCGCTTAAACTGAGAGCTTGTGTTCTTGGCCTCCAGGCTCCGCTGGGAGGTTTCCTTGGTCAGCATCCATCGCCCGTAGGAACAAGCGTGAGTCTTAGATGCTGGTCCTCCTGGAAGCTTCCGTGGTGGGAGGATACACAGCACATTCCTTTCTTATCACAGGGACCCCTCCTAAGGATGCTGGTCTCTTTCAGCCTCTTGTGGCCTGGCTGTGAGTGAGCCATTAATTAGAAGAGAGAAGTGGCATCATGCCAGACAGGGAGATTCCAGCCTGGTTCCGAGACCATGGCCCATCTGCCCACGCCCTGCCTCTTCCCGGCAGAGGGTAGCTGTTGAGCTTCACTACCTTCCATCAGCATAGCATTGATGATGAACTGAGGTTGCTTGACGGAAAGGGACGGTGGGGGCTTTGGCGTCAGAGAGTCTTCTGGGTTCAATCCTGACTCATTGATTAGCTGTGTGACCTCGAGTAAGTTAACTAACCTCTCTGGAGCGTAATGGTCTACTTTGTAAACTAGGAATAACAAAATCTTCTTGGCATTGTGGTGAAGCTCTGAGATAAAGAACAGAAAGTCCCAAGCACTGCACTCGATTCAATAAACAAGAATAATTACCTTTTTGTGTGTGTGTGAACTTATTAAAATAAACAGTGTCAAACTCGAGCACCACTCTGGTTCTTTGTCTTTTTTTATTTAAGATTTTTTTTGATGTGGACTGTTTTTAAAGTCTTTATTGAATTTGTTACAACATTGCTTCGGGTTTAGGTTTTGCTTTTTTGGCCCCAAGGCAAGTGGGATGTTAGCTCCCCAACCAGCGATTGAACTGGCACCCTCTGCTTTAGGAGACAAAATCTTAACAGCTGGACCACCAGGGAAGTCCCAGTTCTTATTCTCTTATTGCTGATTTTATCATTAACCCACTGGCTTCTCTTTCATTCTGGGGTGAGACTCAGACCAGAAGGCAGTTCACTTTCTGCAAGTATTTCTCTAAGGCTAGTTCCTTTCTGCCTTCAGCAAAGAGGCATGGGGCTTGGACAGACATGGGCTCCAATCCTAGTTTTGTGGTCTTGGGTAAATTACGTCTGAGCTTCCGCTTTGTTATTCTTTGGAGTAGAATATTACTGTCTCGTTGATTTGCCTTGCGTGGCTATTGCAAGGTTCAAATCAAAGAGTAGGTGTGAAGACATATCGAAAAGCTGAAAGCACAGTGCAGAGGGCAGGACTAACTGAATGTGTTCCAAGTGCTCTTTTGGGTGGATGCGGGAAAAGCGGAGGTGGAGGGACTCTTCCTGGGCAGTTTGATTGCTGGGTAGGCTTGTGGGAGAGGAGCTGAGCAATAGAGTATGAGAAAGAATTTGCTGATCGCCCTCTGGGATTTCCCAGAAAAAGCCCCTATACATCCCGGAGCAGCTGACTGGCTTGGAGGGGCCAGACTGGGGACCTGTGATGAACTCACTCATCCATGGGATTTATCCTTACATGTTTCTTGAGCATCTCCTCCGTGCTGAGCTCCACTTTGGCTGTAGGGACTGAGAAAGGGACACCACACATCCCTGCCCTGTCCAAGCTCCTGATGCCTCAGACCCAGCGTCGGAAGAGTGCCTCGGGGTGGGAGGAGGGGAGGAGGTCGGAGATGACTCTGGAGCTGGGGCTCAGAGGATGCAGGGCATGCCAGCGGGGGCCAAGAGGGAGGAAGGGCAGATCAGGCAGAAGGAGTAGCCTGAGCAGAGCGCAGGAGTGGGGAAGCCACTGGCAGGTTCCGGCAGGGGGACGAGATGTTGGGAAGTGGCAAGGGATGAGGCTGAAGAAGAGAAAAAAAGGACAGTCATCACTGGCTGCTAAGAAAGTGAGGCTTTGCCCCTGAGTGCTTCAAGGAGCAAGTGATGGAACTAGAAATACTCTTCTCGTGGAGGGTGGTTTTACTATGCCCACAAATTCTTTGATAAACCTCCTTGCAAAGGGTGGAGTCTAATTCCTCTTCCAGTGAATGTGGCCAGACTGAGCGACTCACTGCCCGCCCACGGTGGTGGTGCCCGTGTGTGACTTCCAAGACTAAGGTGTGGGCGGCTTTGCAGCTTCCTCCTGGGCCTCTTGGGTTTCTTGCTCGGGAGCAGGCCAGCTGCCGCGTTGTAAGGATGCTCAAGCAGCCACACAGACAGGCTGCATGCAGAGGCCCCGACTTGCCACCCTGGACGTGGATCCTCTGGCCCCAGTGAAACCTCTGGCTGATTCTGGTCCCCTAGCCTATGCATCTTCCAACTGAGGCCCCAGACATCACGGAACAGAGATAAGCCCTGAATTCCTGACCCGTGAACACTGGCAGTCTTCTCTGCAGAGCCTCTGAAGGTAAGTCCTACCCTGCATGGTCCCCTTAGTTCAGCCTTTGGTGTTATTTCTGCAGGGGCAGAAGCCCTGTTTCCTCAGAGCCCCAGACTTGGAGTTCTGTCTCTTGTGGTCTGGCTCTCTAGAGACTCGAGTGTCCCACCTGATGCTACTTGTTAATTTTCCAGCAAAGTAGTCCCTAGCCAACAGGATGGCTCCTGGCCCATACCTGACTCCGAGAAGCCACAGGATTGTTAGAAGGTGGTCTGGGGAGGGCTTCATTTGGAGTGATCGGGCCCATGTTCCATGGCCTGTACTGACATGACCATTGGTCATCTCCCTAGCAGGTCACTCCTGCCACAGGACAGAGCTCCAGCTGGGCCCCACTGCCCACTCCCCCCAACACTGCCCCCTCAGGACTGACCCTCCCTTTCCTCTGCTTCCACTCAGGATTCATTCTCCCCCCCTTCTCTCTTTAGAGTGTCCAGAGCCTCCTCAGAAGTCGGCCATGTGTTGGAGACATCCTGTCTCCATGGAGACGGGACTCAGTCTCTGTCTGATTTCTTCCTTTTCACGTCCTCCCTCGACCCCGCGCTTGTTCACATGTGACCACCTGTCTGGTGCTCCCCTCCTCCTGCAACACCCAGCCCAGAAGGAGAACAGTCCTCTCCCTTCTGCTCCTGACAGGCCTTTGCGGATTTGAACACCAGCCCTTGAGGACTTTTGACTTAGGATTTAACGCTGCCTGTTGTTTCAAGTGGGCTTCCATTATCGTCCCAGAGAGGAGGGGCATGCTCTCCTAGGCGTTCCCCAGAGTGCCCGCACCCCTGTCCCAGAAATAGGAAATCAAGGAGCCCCTCTGACTCACCCGAAGGACGCAGTGGTGGGCACCGTGTCCTCATGAATAGATGGGAACATTGGTCTCTTCCAGGCCGAGAACATTGGGACTCAGAGCGGGAGGTGAGTGAGGGCCTCCCTGGAGGAGAAACCATGGAGGTGGTTAGATGGTGGGGCTGGAGACCATAAAACGCATGCATGCTCCTCTAGGGAGAGAAACGGGGTTCTTCACTTAAATATTTATTAAGTACCCATCACACACCGGGTGCCAGGACACAGTGTGAAGACTGGTGCGGTGTCTGTCCTCCAGGGGCTCATGGTCTCATGGAGAAGCCAGACGTGATGCTCAGCGCTGGAGACTCGGTGGGGCGGGGTGGAGCGGAGTTCCCCTCCCCCATGGGGCTCCCTGCCAAGGCGAGGGCCGTCAGCCTGCCTGCCGAGGTCACCATTTCCATCAAGACAGTGACAGCCGCCCAGGTAACCCAGGGCCTCCCGGCTCTGTCACCCTGGGGGAGTGATGCCCACCCTCCCCCCCATGCCCCCTGCTATGGGTCTGCCTGGTTAGGTGTCCCAGATCTGGCAGAGTCAGCCCATTGGGATCCTAATTGTTTGTTAATGTCCATCAACATTGCTCTCCTGTTCAAACCAAAGTGGGGGGCTTTTCTGTCTCCCTTGTCCAGAGAGCAGGCGGTTTGGGGACCAGGGGGATGGTGGGAGTCCGGGGCGACTCTAGTTTCTCTGCATCTGCCTCGGATGCTCCGTGTGTGGGAGCGTCGTCATTCCTGCTTCTCCCTGGCCCTGCCCCAGGATGCGGGGACCACGCCAGGAGGGGCTGCAGTCTGGCTTCTATGGGCATTGGCTCCAGGGCAGCAGCAGGAGGCTGGGGGAGGAGGAGAGGGAGGAGGGCATCTGGCTCCTAGCTTCCTCCCTTGCGGGCCTCCAGGGACTGACTGGGCCCAGCCCCGGTTCACAGCTCCCATTGGGGCCTTTTCAACTCCAGTGATCCTGACATCTGCCCTCTCCTCTCGGGGCTCAGGCCGCAGGTTGGGAAGAAAGGGTCGTCCACAGAGGTCACCCCCACATGCTGTCTACACTCTGTAAGTAGACCCTCTTTAAACACCTCTGCATATTAGGCAGCTTGAACATGGCCTCGCAATCTCCTACTGGACCCAAACTAATATGTCTGGGGATTACAAACTCAGATGTCAGGGACGCATTTGGTGGGGAGCTGGCTGTGGTGGGCACCCGGGTACCTGGCTGGGGTGGTGCAGTGGTCAGTGTGTGGTCCTCTGGGTGCTATTTGAGGGAGTCCCTTAGATTGCCTGGACCTCAGTTTTCTCATTGACACAGCCGGGGGTGGGGGGATGGACCCATGCTCCCCCAGACTCTGATCCTTGCGTCTGTGTGGGGGTGATGGGACGGTGACTCTACAGTTGGGATTTCCCCTTGTTTTTCAAACCGATGTTTTAGAAAAAAAAACATCCAACATCCTGATTCACTTGTTCTCTATCTCTCTCAGAATGTGATCCAAGAAGACTTAACTTTAAAAGTATTTCCTTCTGTTGAATCACATAAACACTGGCTCTTGGTGCTGCTGAGAGTCATTTCCACTTTTTTTTTGGCTGCGCCACCCGCAGCCTGTGGGGTCTTAGTTCTCTGATCGGGGATTGAACCTGCAAGCCTCTGCCTTGGAAGCATGGAGTCTTAACCACTGGACCACCAGGGAAATTCTTCATTTTTGTTTTGGTGCCAGAGGGAGTCTATTTTGGTTCCCCAAGAATCGCCGTCTGAAGGGCTGTGAGGCGATGGCCGCCCCAGGACACACAGCATCACTTTCACCAGGGCCAGGGTTTGCCTTTATGGAACCCTGACCGGGTGACCAGCTCGTGCCCACTGTTTCGTGGGTGTGTGCTGGAGCTGGGAGATAGTTCCCAAAGCGAGGGCTGTGGATCGGAAGGTAAATAATCCCCCAGCCACTCCTCTCCATGTGCTTAGTAACCACACCAACTCCAGCTGAGCCCTGGAGAAAAGTGTTGTGTTGGGGCTGTGTGTCTTCAGCACCTCTCTGGTGTTTGTTACTCCCCTTTCAACAAAACCAGCAGGCCCGGCGCCTGGGCTGGACACCCAAATCTAACCAGACTTTAACAGACTAGCTTATGATCTATTGTATTTATTTCAGCAAGGTATTTTTGGTGACAAATAACTGGTGATATACAGTTAACAGTTCAGAAGTGAGTCGCTATTAAAGAAACAGTTGTGGGAATTCCCTGACGGTCAGCTGGTGAAGACTCCCCACTCCCAACGTAGGGGGCATGGGTGTGATTTCTGATTGGGGAACTAAGATCCCACATGCTGCATAGTGTGGCCAGAAAAGAAAAGAAAAAACGAAATCCAAAAAAGAAAAAAAAAAGAAGTAGGTGATGAAGGTGTCAGAGCTTGTGTGTAGAACGACAGAATGAGGGAAACACAGCCTGAGGGGTCCAGTCGGAAACCCAGGTCACAAACAAGAGGCCTGGCCCTGTGGTCAGGCTTACCAGCTCCGGAGGCAGACCTGGGATTTGGTCCCCCTCCATTGGGTTGCTCTTTAACCTCATGGTGCCTCGCTTTCTCAGCTATCAGATGCTAGGTGTGAGGAATCCGTGTCAAGCTCACAAAGCACGTGATGAATGCGTCCAGAACCGGCACCACCCAGGGGGGTACCCGGAGGGACCCCCGTCTGCTGCAGGAGCCCCCGCAAGGCACAGCCCCAGTGATGCTTTACAGACACAGTTCCACTGCTGCGTGGACAGATGAGCTGGTCGCTGGCACATCACCAGCCCGCCTAATCCAGGGGAGCCCTCGAGACCACACAGTTCTCTCCTTGGTCCGAGGGGTGGGGTTGTCAACTTTTGCCTTTTGCATCCCGTCTCGCTGTGATAGCCTTGTGTGCGCGCGCACACGCGCAACTGGCCTATGGTAGTAAATACACCTGTCTCGCTGATCTCCCCGTCTTTCGCCGCGCTTGCTACTGTGTTTAGCACATCTCAGTCTCTTGGAAAACCTTTGCCCCATAAATAAGTAAAATCTCTCAGACCACTCAGGTTGGAGTCAAGGCCAGAGCTAGAAAGAAGCAAGGTCTCCCAAATCCAGCTCAGAACCCTTTCCCAGACACCTTGCTGGAATAAGTGGTTTTTTCTAAAATCTGTTTCACTTGACCACTGAGGAAGGATGTTGTTTATAGATAGATACCAAGGTGAACTGCAGATCACCGTCAATACCGTGTCAGGAGAGCCGCACGGTCGGTAACAGCCTTGATACCAGGGAGAAGCAGCCTGGGCAGTTTCCAAGGGGCTTTTTCTCTTTTTCCCTGAGAAAAGGCCAGAGCTGTCTGTGGGGGGATGGACAGGGTTCTGGGAATTCGACGTCTGTTCTGGGAACACCAAGAGAGCTGAATCAGATCCACTTGGTCCAATGTGCATTGTGGGCCCTTCTGGCATTTGAACATTTTATGGGCCTGGAATATTTTGGAAACACATATGGAGGTGGGGTAGGGTGGCGGGAAGTGGGGGAGCCTGGAAAAGCAGAGCATCCCCCCCCCCCGCCACCCGAATGACCCTGCTTCCTGCAGCGATGACAGGACATGCCTCCCGGACTCTCATCCTCAGAGTCTGGGGCTCATGCTGGTCTTCGTCTGTTTCCAGTTTCTTAGAATTAGCTTATTCTGCTTCTTTGCCCCACATTGAGCCTTGTAGTTTTAATGAATGAATGAGCAATTCTAGCTGATAGCCTAACACCAATCTTTCCCCTTAAAAAATAAATCTCTCCATTAAAAAAAAAGATAATATGACCACAGCAAAGAGCATTTAAAAATGCTAAAATCTCTCAGAGTTCTATCCCCACATCTCTGTTTCTGAAAAGAAACATCTCTTTTCATATGCCTTCAATCAGACTTCTATCTCCTGTGGTTTTACATAGACCATCAGACCAAGACAAATTTTCCATGCTGTTCTATAGCATCATAAGGATGCCTTTAAGAGAATGCATTGTGTTGGTTTATTGTTATTTATTAAACCATTCCTCAATTTCAGTCCCTTTGTATAAAATGTATTTCCATGGGACTCCAGCCGCAATGACCCACATCCGCTTCCCAAGGCTCTTTCTTAAGTTCCCAACCCCTCCACCTTTGCCAGGGCTGCTCCCGATGCCTGAATCCCCTTCCCTACTTTCTACCTTTTGAAGTTGAGACCTACTCAGTTACCAACCCTCCCATGAAGCCTCCCAAAGTGCCCTGCGATGGTTGGTTTTATGTGTCGACGCGTCTAGGCTACAGCCCCCTGTTATTCAATCTAATATGGATCTAGATGTTGCTGTAAAGGCATTTTGAAGGTGTTATTGAAATCCCTCATCAGATGTTAAGTAAAGGAAATCATGCTGAGTATCTAGGTGGGCCTGGCTTGGTCAGTTGACAAGCCCTAAGAGCAGAAGCAGGGTTTCCCAGAAGAAGAAGTTCCACCTGGGGACAGGCCATGCCTGAGAATTCTGGCCACCTCTCCTGATTGCCTTACTGATGGATTCTGGGCTTGCCTAGTCAGCCCTACAATCACGTAAGCCAATTCCTTGCAATAAATTTGTTAGTCCCTGTCTCCCATTGCCAGGCTCCCCTGGTGGCTCAGATAAAGAATCTGCCTGTCAATGCAGGAGGCCTAGGTTTGACCTCTGGGTCAGGAAGATCCCTGGGAGAAGGGAATGGCTACCCACTCCAATATTCTTGCCTGGAGAATCCCCATAGACAGAGGACCTACTAGTCCATGGGGTCTCAAAGAGTCAGACACGACCGAGCACGTGCCTTAAGCCCCGTACACTGCAGTCTCTTTTTCACTGGCTTTGTCTCAGTTGAACACCTTCAAGCAGCGGAGTTCTCTTCCCTCCTCTCCCCCTCCTCCTTCTCCACGATGTTGTTTAGTGCAGGTCTATCAGAAATGCCTGTGTTGTGTCTTCCTTTCTCTGACTCCTACCAGGGGCTCAATAAATGATTGTTCACTGACCGATAGAGGGCAGGGTGATCCTTACTTTTCTCTTCCTCCCCAGCAGACGCATCTCCAGAGTAGAAGCAAAGGGAGGTGGAA